ATTGTTTTCTTAGCGTATATGTGTAGATAAAAACTATAATATAATATAATATAATATAATAAAAACTATTTTAAAATGTATTATTTTTAATTTAAAAAATGTTTTGTTTTTAAAAAATGTAATTACAACATGTTTAAAGAGTGAAGCGATGTAAAATATTTCAGTCAACATGAGTTGTTTTAGCAAAATGACATTTGTGAATTTTAAATGTACCAGTTAAAACACAATATTTAAAATTAAATATAATAATTATCTTTGTGTTGTTCATTTGTGGAGATAATCGATCATTTTACAGTTCGATTTCTCCGTGCCACTGTGACAGAAGGTATTTTAAACGTTATTATAATATTTGTCGTAGATAACTGTAGAAATAAAAATAAAAACAACTCCGTTTGGAATGTACTAATGCGACAGTTATTTTCAGTTGGTTCTCTTTCTCTTTGGAAATCTCTCCTTCAATCCCTGCGTTCTGTCTTTCAGGCAGGAAGTTAAACCGTGGATCGTGATTGGTCAATGGATCTGTCACTCACAGAATAGAGGCGGGACTTGTGTGCCGGCAGACTAAACTCAGGGCGAACACTCCCGTTATCTCCGGTCCTGACGGACTGCCGTCACTTCCTGTAGTCGACCACAGAGATGCCTGCGTGAAGAAGTGAAAGCAGCGGGCCACGTTGTGTTGAAGGATGTGTTGTTAGTTTTCAGTCGCCGTCTGGGTCGAGGTAACGTTAACAAACCTGTGACTGACGGTATTAACCGGTAACGTCTCGGAAGTGATCGTAGGAGAGAGACTCTTTTCCTCGGTGACAGTTGAACCGACGCGAACTTGTGACCCGCCAAAAGCCACGCAGAGGGTTCAGCGAGGAAGAGACCATTTTGTACTTTTTCTGTTTTCAGTAAGGTTTTTATTGAACATGAGCGGCGGATTTAACTTCGGACAAGCCTCCACGGGTTTCTCTTTCGGAGCTCAGAAGACCACAGCCGCAGTCCCCGGGACCGGCACCGGGACCGGGACCGGGACCGGGACCGGGACCGGGACCGGCTGTGGCGGGGGCTTCCTATCCGGATCCGTCGGAGGTTTCGGGCCTCTCGGAACCGGCGCTCTCGCTCCTCGCGCTCCCGCTCCTTGTTGCGCGGCTTCGGGAGTTTGGGCCCAAAACTGTCCGGAGACAAGCTCCGGTCGCGGCTGTCGTTGCGGTTGCGGCTGCGGGATCGAGTGCGGGGTCTCCGGGCCCGAGGGCTCCGAGGCTCCCCGCCGCCGTCCGAGCTGGAGCGGTCCGACATCGGCTGAATCCGGACTCACACTGGACCTACGGCACACTGCGAGGACACAAAGGTTTCTGTCTTTAATACGCAATTAAAGCGTTCGACAACAGGAAGTCGTGATGTGTCCGTCCGCAAACAGAACCCGGTCTTCCTCACAGTGTGATGAACATAGTTCCGCCTGTAGAAGTTTGTCAAATATAATTACTAAATAAATAAATACAGAAGAAATATTTGAACAAGCAGATACTTTCTTTATCTTATTATATTTCTATTTCTATTTTCATTTTATTTTTTTTATTTTTACTTATATGTATATACCTATATATACATTTCTAATTAATATACATTGTGTTATATATTGTAATATAATTATTATTATATTATTTTATTCTTTAAGACTGTGTGAACAACTGTAACAAACACATTTCCCCAATTAATAAAGTATTTCTGATTCTGACTAATTTAATTTTACTGAAGACATTTAGGATAATGCCATCCACTTGTCAATATCATAACGTTACAAATGAGGTGGGATATATATATATATATATATATATATGAAACAAGAAATATGAATTTGCTTAGCCTTATAAAATCTAAAAGTATTTAGTATTGAGTTGATAAAGCCAGTTCCCTTTGAGCTAGTTTGTTATTATTATAAGTTGGGTGCAACTTTATCTGACATATAATAAAAAAAGATGAATAGATGTTTATTTGTTTTTGCTGCTGTTTTTGTCTTCAATCAGATATAGTTTATAGTATAGTAGATACAAGAATTCATGCTTGTATCAAGAATTTAGTTGCACTTAATGCAATGCAAATTTCAAACTTTACAATCGTATCGTCGGAAAATGTAAACATATGGGCATGTTGGTGCATATAATTGTACAGTGTTTTGAAGTTGTGTAAAGTGTGTAAAGTGTAAAGTGTATAAAGTGTAAAG